CCGGTGATGAAGACCTTGAGGGTGGAAGAGGCGCAACGTGATGTTGAACCACAAACGCCAGCCTTGAGGGAGCTCTGTCAGCAGAATGAGTCACTGAAAAAGATATGCAGGATGGGTCTTCTAGACTCTGGAGCTACCCACCCTTTGAGGCCGAGGGCATCTGAGGATCACGCCGAGGCCCGTGGAAGTGTGAATGTTGCCCTCGCAGGAGAGACCAAGGTGAAGATGGAGCAGACGCGTGCTGGAACAATCCTTGGTGAGCAGGGGACACAACCAATCGTCCCGCTTGGGACTTTGGTCAAGGCTTTGGGGTACGAGTTCGCATGGGACAAGAGAGGCTGTAGACTGAGACACCCAACCAAGAAGGAGGTGAAAGTCTATACCAAGTCGACGTGTCCTGAGATCACCCAATGCGATGCGCTGAGGCTGATAGCAGAGCTGGAGGAGGCAAGGCTCACTGAAACTATGGAGTCGCTTGCACAGTTGAAGGCTTCCATCAGTGCGTCAAGAGCCCACAGGGAGCACAGCTGGAAGGACGCCGTGCGTGACTACCTTGCAACGGGAAGCCTTGAGGATGGCATGAAGGCGGTTCTGGCGGCGCCGTTCATGAACCATGTACCAATGACCGAGCAGCTGAAGGTGATGGTTGAGGTTCCAAAGACGGACGCAGAGGCATGGAAGTGGATGAAAGTCTTCCCTTTGAATCGTTCAAGGAGAAGGCAGCTTTGGCAGGCCTCAAGCTGGACAGTGCACTTGTGCAGTGGCAAAGGAGTTCGAAATGATCCTCTTCGAGACCTTCCAGGCTTGTTGGAGATAGACAGTCAAAAAGGGTGGAACCTCAATGACGAGAAGGTTTATGGTGTTCTCCTATGGGCGGCCAAGGAGGGACGCATACAGCATGTCTTCGGGGCGCCTCCGGCGGGAACCTATTCTCCTCTACGATATCGCCAAGATGACCAGTCAGGACCAAGGGCGGTTCGGTCGGTGTTGGAGCCATGGGGAATGCGTGAGGGCGTGAAGCCGGAGGATGCCATGAAGGTCAAAAATGAGAACCTCATGATGTTCAAGATGGTGTGGCTTTGGCTGTATGCAGAAGCAGCACAGGAGGAGCCAGAGACGTTGGGACACAAAGTGGGGTTTTGTATGGAGTTTCCAGAAGATCCAAGAGCATATCTGCCAGAAGGGGCTCAAAGCGATTCTTGTGTTTCAGTGTGGCGCACTGGCTTCATGAAGGAGCTCTTGGACGTCACAGCGATGAGCCTTGTTGAGCAGGGTGCCCTGGGCCATGCATTGAGGAGACCTACGTGCTGTCTGACCAACTTAGGCTTAGGCATTCATGGCATGAAGGACTCAAGATGCTGGACATCAAAGGACGATGGCTCGGATGATCAAACCGTGTGGCCTCATGGGTTTCGAATCACAGTTGCGGACGCTATCCATGAATGGAACCGTAATGCAGGTCAAGTGGCTCTGAAGAAGGCAATGACCAGGTCAGAGATGACTGAGTGGAAAGCGCATGTGGAGCGCGGTCATTGGCCTTACAGACGAGACTGCTCCGTATGTCTTGCTGCTTCAGGCACCGGACGTCCTGCTAGGCGAGTGGTGCATCGAGACGCATACTCAATGAGTTTGGA